CCCTCCTCCCTCCTCCCTCCTCCCTCCTCCTTTTGCCTAGGACATCCTGCCTCTTCAACACTCGCAGAGCGAAGGAGGCGCGGCACCACATTTGGGGGCCTCGGTAACTGGCGGCCAGCCAGACACATATGATCCAACCGACACACCGAAACAAAAAGGTGCAGGAGGAGGACAGGGAGGAGGAGGAGGACAGACAGACGAGGCGTGCGGGGACCAGGTCTAGCCTGGGCGCAAAAACAAAAGCAGACATGCGGGGAGCAACGGTGCGAGGGTCACTAACGGCGCAACGCCGGGCAGTCCCCACTCGCACCGCGCCCCCCGCAAATCAGACAAGCGGGAACTTACCTCCGCTCTGCCTAGCGCACACCTCTCCGCGACGCACCGCACGATAGATCTGCCACAACTGGACAGCAAATTGGCACACGAGTGCGTGGGAACAAACAAGCCGTAGTCAATGGTGCGGGTGCTCGTCTTTGAACAGGGAACCCCAGCCCTCCGCGAGCCTGGCCCCAGGGGCCCAGAACGGGGAAATCCGCCCCAGAGGACCCCTGGGCCACGGAAGACGACCGTTTCTGAGCATTTGCACCTGCTTCTTCTTAACATTAAAGCAGCCACCCACTAGGTCTTTGGGGTGGCGGCCAGTGGTGTAGCTACCACATCTGTTGCAGAAAAGAATGCCCTGCCCTGTGGCCAGCACCCTGGCCACCCTGAAGGAGTGGGGGGGGAAGGAGGGGCAAGAGGGCAAAGGAGGGAACGGAGGGAGGGGGCAAGGGGGCCGCAGGCCGAACACTCGGCCGCTTTCACAGACCTGAAGGTCCGAGCACAGACGAAACACTGCCAAGCATTGCCCATCCATCTGATTTTATGGGCAAGGAACACATGCTGGAGCTTCTCAGGCCTGGCACGAGGGGCCTTGCCTAGCTCACCAAACAGTTCACGAGCTGAGGGCCACTCTGCCAAGACAGCCCCAGCGAAATCGGCAACTTGGTTCCATTTCTTAAACAGCGCGGTGATGGTGGCCACATCTTGGGGGGACCTGTAAAACCCCGCAGCTTCCTTGGCGTACACATCGGCCCAATTGTTGCCGCGTGTTTTCCACCTGGGTTGGGCCTCCGAGTCTTCCTCTAAATGGGCTTTCACTTTGTGGATAGTCCAGGCCCTGGGGGCCACCCGCTTGATCCGCCTCCAGTGGCCGCTCTGTACCGTGGTACCCCTCGAGGCCTTCGACAAGTCCTTGGAGCCCCAGATAAGAGCAGAGCAATCCACGAACGCGTTCAACTCGGCCTCTTCCTCAGGGGGGGGGTCCTGGTCCTGGTGCTCGATCGTGTGCATAAACCCATGGTGCTCGGCCAGCACTGCAGTTTGGGGAAGCCCCCGAGGGATGGAGCCCATCAGGCCCCTGATCAGGTTCCCGTCCCCGTCCACCTCGACAGCTGCCCAGCCCCCACGGGCTCCCACATCAGTTTTTGGGTCCCAGACCGAACCGTCCGAGAAAACCTTGGCGTTGTGCGGGAGTGTGAACGGGTCGATCGGCCCATTCGCGTCGAAATATCTGATAAAATCCTCAACTGGGGGCTCCAGCTCGAGCTCGGGCACAGGGACCCACAGCGAGCTGTACAGCGGGTCCTGCTCGCCCGCCGAGATGGCCTCCTCGAGAAGGTCCTGATCCAGCGCAATCCTAACAGAGGCCCCCTGAGGGCAAATCCAGATCCTGTGCCACACGGAATCAATTGCCTCACAGAACTTACAAAAAGGGGTAACTTCATACCCCCACCGATTGAGCGAAGCCGCAGTGGTGTACGCACGACAGAAAACCTTCCGAAGGATCTTTTTCTGGGCAAAACTACACGCTTTGCTTCGCATCCTCGAACGGATGGGTTGGGTCCAAAGGCCTCGCTCCTGAATTTCAAGCACCCTTGGATGATCCCAATCCTGAACTAACATGTTGACGCTCTCAGCCAAATACTTCCGCTTGATATCCTGAACGAAAAACTTGCGCACAAGCTCTGGCGGCGAGTCCGTCAAGCCGACAGGGATCCCGCTCGCTGAGGTGAAGCTGGCCTGGTTATTGAAAATCCACCCGGCCTCGACGCCCCACAGCAGAGCGTCCAAAATCGGGTGCGTGCCTCTTCTGCGCCATCCTAAAGACGGTGGTGTCGCGATCAACTTCTCTAGACACGCATGAAAAGCTTTGGTGAGGGTGCCAGCACTTAAGCCATCAGACGCCCGTAGCTGCGGGTCTGTGGCCTCCCACCATTCACGAGCATATCTTACAATAGTGTCACCAGCATGGCTGATCGGGTCCTTCGAGCTCTCCGTGGCCCAGATGAGGTCGATGGGGGCCCCTGGGCACCAGATGCCAAGCGCCTTAGCCCCCAAGACTCTGAGCTTGTGAACTTCACGAGGACCCAACCCAACCACATCGCTGCCATATGTCATGCTCGGCTTTTGCCCCACGAAGAACAACTTGGCCTTGGATCCAGCTTTCCCTCTGAGGTTCCTGATCTTGGGCATCCTCCTGAGAGCCTTGGACCACCTACACCGCCTTTTAGCCAAGTTGGGGACCTTCTTGGAGCACACACACGGGGACCCTTGACGGAGTTGACCTTGTTGGGCAACCTCGAGCCCTTGGAGCCTATGGAGAAGTCCACCCCTAGGTTCACCACCTCCCCCGTGATCGTGTGCGCGTACTGGCCAAAACACTCCAGAGCCCCCTCCATGACCTCCTTCGAGTTGGAAGTAAAGCAACCTTTCTTCAGCGAGATCGGGAGCCCTAGACGGTTGGCACACGCACTGAAGAGTTGTCCTGCCATCTGCGCTATGCAATTTAAACAACCTGTTACCTCTCTGTGGGCTCCATCCACTTCGAGGTCATCGACATGGATCGTGAAGCTTGTGTTCTCAATGGGCACTAGATCCTGGACCATGGGCACCATGAACGCT